GTTTCGCTTTTGCACTATGCAAATTTTTAAGAGGTGTTGCATAACTTGTACGATATGCTTCAAAACAGATAATCAGTAATTTTTGTCCACCATGAAAAAACGACCAATCTCGGGGGCCAGCAGGTGGCATAGTGGTTAAAGAGCTGGACTCCTATACAGACGACAGCAGCTCAAGTCCTGGACCTGGTGGCTTGAAAATCGTGCCAGGCATGTGTATGCATGCATGGCCAAAATCCCAAGCAGAGAATGTAGCAGAAGGGATTGCAGCGTGGCCCCAACCCTGGGGGCAGATTTCTCACTTTCCCTCTCTTTCTGTCTCTGTCTCTGTCTTTATCTCTGTCCAGTGAGTGCATGCACCCTATAGCAAAACCTAAGAGAAAAAGAAAGTCTAGCACATACAATTATGGATAGTACATAACACTCGATGATAGTAAGCTACCGTGTTACTAGTTTACGGAGTCACTATACTTCTTATAGTTATTTTAGAGTGTATTTCTACTTATTAAAAACAAAAAAAAAAGTTTACTGGGCCAGTGCCATGGCCTCATAATTGAGGGAGGTGGATCTAACATAGCCAACTGCACAGTTCAAATCTTGGCCCCAGAGGCTTAAAAATCACACCAGGGATGTGTGAAGTGCCCCGACGTCCTGATGAAAAAGCACGGTTATGCCCAGTTGGGAGGTGCTTTCCCCTCTTCCTCTCTCTTTCTCTCTCTCTCCCTCTGGCAAGCATACCTGACCTCTGGCAAGCTTAAATACATTTAAAAATGAAAAAGTTTGCTATAGAACAGTACGCTGTGCTACATACGAGGCTCAGGCCCTCTATCTACAAAGGTTTTAGAAAGCAGTCTCACAGAAATAATGAAATCAGGGGCCAGTCGGTGGAGTGGTGGTGGTGAAGGCGCTCGATCCCACATGGCTGACTTATGGTTTGAGTTCTGGATCCTATGGCTTGAAAACCATGCTGGGTATGTGTGTATAAGTGCCCAAAATCCCGAGAAGAGAACAGAGAAGGGACTGTAGTGTGGGCATCCCACCAGGAGATGCTTTCTTACTTTCTCTCTCCCTCTCTCTCTCCCTCTCTCTCTCCCCAGAAACCACATGTGCCCTCCAGCAAACAAACAAACAAAAAAAAAAAAAAAAAGAAAGAAAGAAAGAAAAGAAAAGAAGAAGAAATCAGATCTGAAGTACCAGATTTTGACCAGTATCCCTAAATTCAATGAAAAGAGTCAGAGGGTGACCAGCAGGTAGAGTGGTGGTTAAGATGCTGGACTCCCACATGGTGGACTGTGGTTAGAGTCCCGGACCTTGTGGCTTTGAAAATCACAGAGGGTGTGTGTGTGTGCATGCCTAAAATCCTGAGAGGAGAATGGAGTAGGGATTGCAGCATGGCCATCCCCCTTGCCAGGGGTGGGGATGAGAAGGGATTTCCTTCTCACCGTCTCTCTGGTGAGTGCACGCACCCTATGGCAAAAACCTTCAAACGCACACACACACACACACACACACACACAGTCAGAGGGAAGGTGCTAGCTTCTGCTGAACAGAGTAACATTTTCTTCTGCCACATGACACAGCACAGGCACTCAACAGATGACCCTCAAGCTGAAGTGTCCTAGGGAAGTTCCCCCTCAGCAGTGCCATGTCAGGCAGAAGGATAGCAGAGGAAGCCCCTCACCTCCCTTCCCAGTTGGCACTGCCGTCGATGTCCTGACCCAATTACGGTGCAGCTCTGCAAAGACCCACAGGACAGACGGCCACACACACAACACAATGCTGGGAAGAGCATGGGACAAAGAAGCCCAGGCTGAGCCCGGGGGAATGGGGATGAGCTCAGATGCAAAGAATGCAGTGAGCCAATTCTGGAGCCTCAGCAAACTGCACAGACTAAACAGTGGGGGAGCGAGCACGCGGGACGCATACTGACTGAGCAAGCACATTCACCCAGTGGCTGCCGGGTTCCAGAAGAATCTTTTTCTTCTGAGATCACACTAGGAATAGACCAACAAACGAGACCTTACCTAGGCAACACAGCCAGTCTGGGAGCTCCTGTGCCTTGGCCTACTGGTCTACCCAGCTCATGCTCAGAGTCTGGGGTGGAGCACACAATGGGCCTGCTCTGCTGAGAAAAATCTGCAAGGAGACTTTTCATAAAGAGGCTGCTGTCGGAGTCCCGGGCCTGCATACCCAGAGTCTGGGCTGGAGGCAAGGCTTTCACAGGCTCCAGGCAGCTCCAGACTCAGTTGTTTCCGATCAGGGGACAGGAGCAAGCAGGGAGCACGAGAGAAGAAAGACAGCATTAACGAAGGAGAAGTGGCCAGGCCGAGCGAGAAAGGCTTCCCGGGCGCACATTTCTCCCAGTGCAAAGAAGCTCTTTCAGTGACGGATGTGTCATTTCCTGGGTTATTAAATCCAGATCATGGGACATTCCACTCTGGGACACTTAAGAGGGTCACATTCTCAGCCTCGCCCAGCGCCGAAGCAGTGCGAAGTGGGGGTCATGACCTTCAGTGTTCCCGCCAGTCCTTGCCGAGCTGTCGAGAGCCTTCCTTCTGAGTGTGTCTGTGGAAGGCCTGGGGGGCCCAGCATGGTGCTCTCAAGTGCCCCAAATGCCCCTGCCGTCATCCTGAAGGACATGGTCATCTAGGGCCAGTAAGGTCTTGCAGGAACAAGAACTCGGGGGAAGAGGCAGAACTGGAAACCCCTTTGCTTTGTGTGCTACCAAATGCCAACGACCGACATCTAAGGCTGAAGTCGCAGCAGTCTTCTCTACCAGACTCGCCTATGAGAGGGTACCGGTGCCTCCTCGGTGTGGGGCACGGGGACCTGCCTGCAATGGGTGCCCAACAACGTCTGCTGTCCTCTGGAGGGGAGGAAGGAGGGGCTGCAGACACAGTGCAGACAGTGACCCCTCGAGACGGCTCCTATAACAATCCTCTGCAAACCAGTAAGCAGTGTGGGACCTGTGCTCCCTGACCCATGCCCACCACACACCTGGAGCCCCTGGTTTGCACTTTAATCATCCTGAAAGTCAGGCAGAGCCTTGTTAAAGATGAACCGGGAGCAACTGAAGAGCAGAGTTAATACAAGAGTTGATTCCAGGTGGGAAAGAGCCTTAGCGTCCAGAAAAGTCCAGATCATACGGTGTTTTCCAATAAAATGTGAATTCACCAACACGCTAAAAATCAGAAGACTTCAGAGTAAAGGGGACTTTCCAACTTCTGTTTGAATAACAGTAATCTGCGGAAATGGGAGTCCCGGGCCTGCAGAGCACACCTGGCTGGAGCCCAGGAGCCGCGTCCTGACCGCTGCTCCCCGGCTTACACTCAGGGCCCCGCTGCAGCGGCAGCACAGTGGTGGACAGAGGGGACATGCCTTCCCAGCCCTGTGCACGATGCTTCCCCAGGTGCTCTGCCCTCTCCACGTGCGGCCCCACCTCCTCCCTGGCTTAGCTGCTTCAGCCCCCACGACACAGCCCATTCCTACGGGCTCACATTTATAGCCTAACGGACTTCCCTTCTTTCTTTCCTTTTTAAAATTTTTTTTTAGATTTTTGCGATACTGCCCGTGTGCTCGCCAGAGAGCCAAAAAGCAAGAAATCACCCAGCAGGGTGGATGGCCACGCTGCAATCCCATCTCTCAGGATTTTGGGCACACATGCACACATGCTCAGTGATAGTCTCAACCTGCTGGGTCCAGGACTCAAACCGTGGTTAGCCACGGAAAAGTCCAGTTTTTTTTTTTTTTTTGGAGTTTTTTCTGCATTAGGGCGCATGCGCTCACCAGACAGAGAGACAGAAAGCGAGAAATCACCCCCCAGGGGGGATGGCCACGCCGCAATCCCTTCTCCTTCATTCTCCTCTTGGGATCTTGGGCACGCACGCACACACGCCCAGAGTGAGTTTTAAGCCACCGGGTCCGGGACGCGAACTACGGTCGACTACATGGGAGTCCAGCGACATAGCCATTACGCAACTGCTGGCCCCAGACTCCCCTCCTTTCTGTTACTTCTGGTCCACTCTGGAGACTTCTGGGGAAAAAGCAAACGACTGCTTCACCAAAACCATCCATCACAAAGTCCTTCTCGTTCACTCAGCTCAGGTGGGAAACACAAACACAGACCACGCTGGCGTTCCACCAGCACTCCCAGCTGGAAACACTGGAGTCTCTCGGGCCGCAGGACTGGCAAGGAAGGGCTGTGGTTGAGTAGGTGAGGATGACCGCAGAAACCAGGATCATAGTAACAAGGGCTGTCAATGACCGAGTGACTGGCAGACACCATCCTAGGCATGACGCACTTTCACTCTTATTTTTACAACCACCCTGTTAAGTTAGGAGGTACTGTGTCTTTTTTATGAGTAAAGGAAATGAATGCAGAAAGCACGCTGCTAACACAGATTTCTTTTTTTTTTTTTGCTGGGGTAGTGACTCAGGCTTCTTTCACCCGCCTGGACAAGCCAGGTGTAAAAAGCCTCTTCCGTGCCGGGGGCGGACACGCAGGGCACTCACGTTCTGCCGTTGGCCTCCTCCCCGTTGGCGGCCGACTTTGCCTCCAAGGCGCTGTTGAAGCTGGAGATGTTTTCTGAGGAGTAGAGGCCAGCTGGGTTGTTGTACTGGTTCGTGATGACCCTGGGGGCCGCGCTGGAGGCAGGCGAGGCAGTAAAGGGCATGGCACTTCGGTTGTGGGCGCTCCCGATATGCAGGACCTCCTGCAGGCAGGGATCAGAGGAGAGGTCAGAGAGCACCTGACTCTCCCAGTGATAGTTTCAAACTGTCGGGTCCAGGACTTGAACTGTGGTTAGCACCCCTCAGGGGACACTGCAGGCTGAGCACCAGGTCAAGGTTCTAGCTAAACACCACCAATCCTGGTTCAATGCCAAACTTTAACTGATGGGCATGGATGGACCCACTGAGACATGGGCCATGACCTGGGAAGTCTCCCAAGAAGGGTCCTGAGCAGGTTCACACTCTCTCAATCGACTCTATTTTTTTTTCTTTTTGGAGAGGTTTCTGCTATAGGGCACGTGCGCTCACCAGACAGACAGAGAGAGACAGAGAGATAGAAGGCGAGAAATCACCCCCCAGGGGGGATGTTTTTAAACTTTTTATTTATCTTAATTTGACCAGAGGGGCCAGAGAGAGAAAGAAAGCCACCAGGTCCAAGACTCGAACCGTGGTCAACCATGTGGGAATCCAGCACCCCTAATGGCCATGCCACCTGCCAGCCCCAATGGCTCTGACTTCTGATTCTTCCCTGAGGCCCAGCAAAGCCTGAGCTGCTGTGGGTGCCCTGGGCAGGAACCCCCTTGACCCCCTATGCTGTCAGGATCCAGGTTGGAGAGGAAACACTTTCAGGGCACATTCCAGAGGGATTAGGGTACCAGGGGGAGAGGGACCTGCTGTCGCTTCACTTTAATCAGTGAGAGCAGGAGACGCTAAGAAGTAGAGATAAACTCCCCAGAATGAGTAAGGTAAGAGGGTTGTGGAGCCACCAGGAGGAGCAGCTGCTGACCAGGCAGGCTGGCCTCAGTCCAGTCCAAACAGAATCTGTGGGGTGAGGGGCGTAGGGGGAGGGGAGGGCATTAGGAGCTACTTCTTGTAGGAGGAAGAGGCTAATCAGATGGCTGGTCAGATAGCCTGCTACAGGGGCAGCAGGCAGCTGAGAAAGGGGCCTGAAGTTCCTCTGTTCTTACCTTCCTTTTGTAATGTGAGAGCACGCCCTCTGCCCACACCCTAGACCTGCCCAGAAGTTGGGTGAATGATTACTACAGCTACAGCATATCAGAACGTCTTTATAAACACCTCAAAATACTTTTTTTTTTTTTGGAGAGGTTTTTGCTATAGGGTGCGTGCGCTCGCCAGAGAGAGACATAGAGACAGAAAGCGAGAAATCACCCCCCAGGGGGGGATGGTCACGCCGCAATCCCTTCTCCTCCATTCTCCTCTCGGGATCTTGGGCACGCACGCACACGTGCCCGGCATGAGTTCTAAGCCACCGGGTCCGGGACGCGAACCGCGGTCGACTACGTGGGAGTCTAGCGACATAGCCATTACGCTAACTGCTAGTTCCCTCAAAATACTTTTTAAACTAGTATTTCTTCTCTTAAAAATCACAGCTTTTCTGATGGTCCAGTGAGCAAGGTCCTTTCTGCGTGAGTGTTCCAGGGCATGGCTTCCAGGTGATCTGAGCTCTGTGCAGCCTGCTTAGCTCAACATGCACCACATCTCCTGCGTTCTCCAGAGAATCTTCCAGAACTCTGATCTCTTCCTTAAGCACAGATTGTGTTTGACTAGAGTAGTGACTCGACTTTCTTTACCAGCCTGGACAAACCCACATCTGGTGTAAAAAGGCCCTGAACAGCTACCCCCCCTAAAGAGGTCCTGTCCTCTGTTGAGTTTTCTTTCCCTCTTTTCTCTGAAATCTTCAAGTCTTTCATGCTTTCTTAGAAAACACATGCATAAACACTAACGGCTTAGTTCATTATGTACCCAATATAAAACAAAACACAACAGGGCCAGCAGGTGGTGTGGTGATTAAGGCACTGGACTCCCACATGGCCAACTGTGATTTGAGTCCCAGACCTGGTGGCTTGCTTTCTCACTTTCCCTCTCTCTCTCTGGTGAGTACACATGCCCTATAGCAATTTAAAAAACAAAGTTATAATACATAAAATTAAATAAATAATTCTTTAAATAAAATAAAACATAACATGAAAATATCTTTATTATTGAGATTTCTTCACTATTCAAGTAGGCTTCTTCTTCAACAAGCCAGAACAGTGAGGTTTGACTATATAAATTACAATTCATTGACTGTGCCCACATTAAACAAGAGCTAACAATCACAGAAGGACAAGTATTAACTAGTTACAGAAAAAATTTCAATAGTCAAAGAATGGGTAAATGTTATGGGAAAATACTCAAAATGATCATACGACATTAAAGGCTGTGGTCATGAAGGGGAACAGTAAATTCACAGACACGCGGGCTGGGGCTTGCCTACATCCATATGGCCCTGGGCACACGCGTGGTCCTGGGGCAGCCATCTTGCTCCTCTCCCCACCTGCCCAGGAGTTCGCAGGAGAGGCATCAGACACTGAACCCTTCTTCAGTCTTGGCTCAATGTTTTGCTGCCATTTCCCATGTGGTCACGGGCAAGCTACGTCTCTCTGAACCTCTCTCACCTTTGAAATACAGCAAGTCGTCACGAGGACTTTGTGTGGCATGTTAATGTGCCAAGCACGGTGCCTGGGACACACAGCTACTCAGCCAGGACCCACTCTGTTCTCTCTTCATAAAGACACAGCTCCAATCAGAATGGAAGTCCACAGACAACTCAGGTTGGCAATTTTTACTTGTACATGATAAAGAATTTTTCAAGAATGAATCTGGTTTGTACATAAAAGGAATATCTCTACCCTCATGTGAATACTAGTCTTTCCAGAAGGCAGATGGGTTCAGGGTTTGTTTTTTGGAAGGGATGATGTAATTGTTTGGGCTTCATATTTATCAGTCTCCAAGGAAACTCAGTAATGAGGAAATACAAACTAGGTGTGTAACTACGCTGACCTCAGATAAGCTTGGCTGTTGTTGGCACTGCATGAAATAACAGATCTTTTCTTTACAAATGAACTCTGCTCATACTCATTTGTCCTCTGCTTTAGAATGCCTGGAAATGAAGCGTTTGGAAAAAAGAGAGGAGGGAAGTTTTTCGCACAAATAAAGAATTATTGGAATCTAAAGGAAGACATACTTGAGTTAGATTTCATGACAGTTGAGAATTTTTTCATCTGAAGAGAACTACCTTCAAAATACTAATGCAAATAACTGATAATATGTTTTTCTTTTTTTTTTTTTTTTTGGAAAGGTTTTCGCTATAGGGCGTGTACGCTTGCCAGACAAAGACATAGAGACAGAAAGCGAGAAATCACCCCCCAGAGGGGATGCTCATGCCGCAATCCCTTCTCCTCCATTCTCCTCTCGGGATCTTGGGCACGCACGCACACGCACCCGGCGTGAGTTTTAAGCCACCGGGTCCGGGACCCGAACCGCAGTCGACTACATGGGAGTCCAGCGACATAGCCATTACGCTAACTGCTGGTTCCCAATATGTTTTTCTTTAATTGTTAGAGGGTGTAAGCACTTGCTAGAGAGAGACAGAGACTGAGAAAGGGCGGATGGGGAGAAAGCTCCCCACTGGGACATGGTCACACCACACTCCTTTCTTCTTCATTTCTCCATCCTACATACAAGCCCAGCATGTTTTTCAAGCTGGGATTTGAACTACAGTAGGACCCAGCTCCCTTAATCACCAGGCTATGGGGCTGACCCACCAGATACTATGCTTAAAATGAAAATTCAAGTATAAAACAAATAAAAATTATAACTGAAATTTAAATAATTACCTTATTTAAGTGAAAACTAGGTTTTCAGATAGATCAAATGAAAGTAAAATCACTCCTTATGTGTTATAAAATATAAGAAACCTAATTAAAATTTAACATTTATAGTAAATTTAATGAAGTAGCTGAGGACTCCCAGGGAAATGAAAATTAACTGTGGCAGGGACTGGCAGGTGTAGTGGTTAGGGGTGGTGGAGTCCCATGTGGCTGACAGTGGTTCAAGTCCCAGACCTGGCGGCTTTCGCTTTCTCTTTCTCTCTCTCTCTCTCACACACACACACACACACACACACACACACCCTGGTCAAATTTAAATAAATAAATTAAGTTAAATAAAATAATTCTTTAAAAAAAAAGAAAAGAAAGAAATTAACTGTGGCATGTTTTAAATCAATTTATGCAAATGTCAGTTTATAGACTGAGTACCATTTAAAAACTTTTCCTTATCTTCTGGGTCCAGGACTCAAACCATGCAGTCAACCACATGGGATCCAGCTACCTTAACAGCTATGCTACGGACTGGCCCCCTTAGAGGAGTTCCATAGAATAATATGGCATGTCAGTTCAAAAAGGCATACATAAAAGAATCCTTAAAGTGACTTGAGATCTTTAAGTATGATTTTTATTTAATTAACAGAAAAACTTTTGTGTGACTAACTTCCTGAAATTTTAAGGGAAGCTATTTGGAAAAGTATGACTTACATCCATCCACTCGATAATGTGCCAAGTGAGGTCAACTTCACACAGGTTCCTGCTTTCTGTATCCGACAGCTAGCTGTTACCTTTCGATGCTGCCTCGATTTGTCTATATGAAGCCCGCAGTGACCTGGATTGGCTGCTGGATTTCACTGTGGCCCTATGCCCACGTCCCTGATCAAGCCTTCCTACCCCTGCTTCCAGGCCAGGCCACGGCGTCCCCGCCTGCCTGGGCTTTCCCAGCCCTTTCCTCCTGCAGTTCCCTTACGGGAAGAATTGAGTAAGAGCCACATCCCGGCAGTGACAACACAGGGCTCTCCTGTCGTTTTATCCCCAGGCCTCCAGGGCAGAAAAAACGGGAATGTCTGAACAATGTCAAAAGCAGAAGGCAGCCGGGTGGGGACCGCAGGGCACTGATGAGCAAGAACTGTACTCACTTGGGGTTCAGAGGCTAAATTCATCTTGTACGGATGCCGCTTCCCTTCCTCTGTCACCAGAGGAGACCAGATTTTATGTTCAGACCTGCAACAGAGGAACAGCGCTGTCATTTCACTCACGCTAAGTAGGAAATACTAAGGGCAGACTGGAAGTCCCCTCCTGCCTGGACTGCTGGCCTTGATCGCACCCCACCGACAGCCCTGTGCACCATTTGCTACAAGAATGATCTTCTGAAAACGCCACCCTAAGGATGTCCTGGGTCTGTGGCTGCCACGCTCTGCCCACAAGGGTCTTCCCAAATGGCCCTGACTTGGCCCAGCCCCGTCTCCCCTCACCACACTCCGGCCACTGGCACGGGCCACATGCTCCCTCTGTGAGCACGCCTCACATTGGGCCGGTCTGCTGCGCTCAGGCCCCACCTCAGCTCAGGCTGACTGACTTGTGAAGCCCAAGTGCAAGCGGTGCCTCATTTCTCAGCCCTGCAAAGGATTTTCTTTTCACCACACACAGCAATGTCTCAGCCCGGTCTCAGTTTTTATTTCCGTACCTTTCTCCTCTCACAGATAGAGTATCAGTCGCCTTCTCTGCCTGCCAGAGAACCTAGTACAGAGCAAGACGTTCACCAGATACACCTGCTCAGTTTGTCGGCCAATGAATAAAAAGATCAATTAATCAGGGCCAGCAGGTGATGTGGAGTTTAAGGCACTGGGTCCCACAGGGCTGACTTCACAGTTCAAGTCCCAGACCAGTGGCTTGAAAATCACACTGTGTGTGTGCGTGCATGTGTATGCATGCCCAAAATCCCGAGAGGAGACTGGAGGAGGAGATATCATGGCATGGTCATGCCCCCAGGAGGTGATTCCTCACTCTTCTCTCCCACCTCTCTCTCTGTCTCTCTCTGGAGCACACATACTCTATAGCAAAAACTAAAAAAAAGAAAAAAAAGAAAAAAAATCAATTAATCAATAAGTGTCTTGAACTGGAGCCTAAAACTGTGGGCTTGGACTGAGACAGGCATGGAGATGAGAACGAGGGGTAAGTGTGCTTAGATGGGTTAGAATGAAATCATATGCGTCCCCTAAGATTGGGCTCTGGATTGTACACAAGACTTTCCTCAAAAGTTCATGAAAAATGCACATTATGAAACCACTGTGCACGGATTTTAGGTTTTTTTTTTTTTTTGGCACCAAAATAAACTCATACTTTAATTCCATTTTCCACACACTTTTTGAAGTTCTCTCGTACTTTCTAGTACTTGGTCCTTCTGCCAACCCTGTGACACAAGAAAATGATCTACTTTACAGATGAGAGCCTGAACAAAGGGCTGTGAAGAGCTGTGGAAGCGAAGGATGGTGAGACATTGACGGGCAGGTTATCACAATGAAGAAGCTCAACTTGAGCCAACAGGAACTGGGGAGCCAGCAAAGGTTAATTCCTGCCCTTGCGGGTGCCCTTCCAAAACTGAAAAAAAAGTATCAGGTTGTCGGAAAAGTCATGACACATTTTTTTTTTTCTATGCAAAAATGTGTCATGACTTTTCGGACAACCCAACAGGAAGAGAATTCTACCCCAATTTACCACTCCTCACTCCTCACGCATCCACTCGGCCCAGCTATCCATCTATGCAGTGTGCTTCGTTACACTCTACACGAGACGGGCAGTGCGGCCATCCTGCTGGGTGACTGTAACCTCCTGCGGGGTGCCCACCTCTCAGCAGTGTGGTGGCAGCAGCGTCCTACGTAGATCCTCGACGGTCCCCAAGAACTTCTCATGTCACCTTACCTGACAACATTGAACTGATCTCACTTCCCCATAATCTGGTCGGTTGTGTTGGATCAAGTGACATACAGTTATCTTAGAGCAAGAAGCTCGCACCATGAGAAGCTCTGGGAAAATCAGAGTGACAGAGGGGCAACGAGAAAGCCCAGCACCATGTGTGGCATGCCTCCAGCGTAGACAGCACTGAGCTGGGGCCGTCCCTGCTGATGAGCAGCTTCAAGGTGAGTGGACAGGCATGAACCTTCCCGCAACCCTCACCTGGTCACCGTGAGAGTCATGCTGTCTACGCAGCCCTTGATTTTGTTCTGGGCTTCCAAGTGTGTCATACTGCTGGTGTTTTCCCCATCGATGGCTGTGATCACGTCTCCGATACATAAATCAGCTGCAGCAGCCTTGCTTCCGGGAGTGACCTGGACGAAGGGAGAGAGAGCTGCTTATGACTGTCTCCAGGGAAACCACGGGGCTGAGCGGTCATTGATATGGACTGAAGCATTCAAAAGGGAAAGAAGGCTGAGACCCCATGTTTAAAGATATCCACCCTTTCTATCTGTGCAGCGCATTTATGGTCCTTTCCTGTGTATGACCTCGCTGGATCCTTACAAAAACCTTGTGCGAAAAGAGACCATGAAACTCAGGCCTAGAAAGATCTGTGACTCACCCAACTAGTGGATTACTGTATACTAGCTGTCCGGCTAGGGCATTACAGATGCAAACCCTGAGCCAGACCTACTCTTCTTTCACTAAACCTTGCGGCTACCTTAAAATATCACTAATTACAGGGACCAGCAGTTAGCGTAATGGCTATGTTGCTGGACTCCCATGTAGCCAACTGCGGTTCGCATCCAGGACCCGGTGGCTTAAAACTCACGCCGGGTGCATGTGCATGCGTGCCCAAGATCCCAAGAGGAGAGTGGAGGAGAAGGGATTGCAGTGTGGCCATCCCCCCTGCAGGGTGATTTCTTGCTTTCCGTCTCTCTGTCTCTGTCTTTCTGGCGAGCGCACGCGCCCTGTAGCAAAAACCTCTCCAAAAAAAAAAAAAGAAATCACTAATTACATTGTAAACATTATTTATATAACTTTATTTATTCGTTCATTTTATTTTTAATTTGACTGGAGAGAGAGAAAGAAATTGAAAAAGCAAGCCACCAGGTCTGGGACTCAGACTGTGGTTGGCCATGTGGGAGTGTCCAGTGCTTTAACCACCACACCACCCGCTGGTCCCCAAATGTCACTAATTATATTTTAAAAATACAAATACACATTTAAAGAGCATTATGTATCATAATGTCCTATTTCTGTAAAAATCTGAATACATGCTATATGCACAGAAGAAACTGTAACACTGTACACCCCATTTTTCACAATTATATTTCTGTAGTATGTTTTTTTTTTGGGGGGGAGAGGTTTGTTTTTGTTTTTTTTTGTTTTTGTTTTTTGCTATAGGGCACGTGCGCTCACCAGGAAGACAGAGAGAGGCAGAGATAGAAAGCGAGAAATCACCCCCCAGGGGGGATAGTCATGCCCCAATCCCTTCTCCTCTCGGGATCTTTGGCACACACGCACATGCACCCAGCGTGAGTTTAAGCTTCCGGGTCCGGGACTCGAACCGTAGTTGACTACATGGGAGTCCAGCGACATAGCCATTATGCTAACTAATGGTCCCTGTAGTATATGCTTTTTAAATTTAATTAATTATCATTATTTTTAAAATTTTCTATAGAGCATGTGTGCTCACCAGAGACAGAGAGAGAAAGTGAGAAAGCAAGCCACCAGGTTCAAGACCTGAACCGTGGTTGGCCCTGTGGGACTCCAGCGTCTTAATCATCTCACCACCTGCTGGCCCCACTGTAGTAAGTTTTTTACAATGAGCCTGAGTTACCTTTGTACTTAAAAGAAGCGATGAAGAATATTTTGAAATACAGTAGTATGGGTTTAGAATGGTCCATTCGTCTCCTCCTACTCAGGGAGTGCTATGACTGGGGCCATCCCCTGGACGTGGCTGGCTTTCTGCAAGCTGACGCTTTGAGACTAGAGGTTCCAAATTAGGGGCCAACGATAGTAGGAGGAAGCCAGTCGATTACTGCACCAAGTCCCCAAATCCACCTGCCTACTGAGCACTCCTCATGAACTGAATAAATGCTATGTCTCCTACACAGATGGACGACCCTTTGTCAAGGGAATACAGATGCTGTAAATGACAAATGAAGTACAAACTCATTTTGAAGTCCGACTGACCTCAGAGTAACGTTTTGCTACTACGCATTTACAAAGGTAAACTAAAAATACTACTATCAGCACTCCAGGGACAGTCCACAACTCTTTTTTGACATTATAAAACCTTCCCCGGGGCTGGTTTGGTAGCACAGTGGGTAACACGCTGGTGAAGCTGATCCACCTTGAAGATCACAGCTCATTCCCAGCTGACCTGTACCCGTACTCATAATCCTGGCTGTGAACACTGGGCAGGCGGATGCAGTGGGGAGGGTTACGGCGTGAGACCCCATTGAGGGTACCTGCTTTCTCTTTATTCTCTCTTTCTGTCACTCATGTGGAAGAAAGAAATAAACTTAAAATAACAACGGGAACAAAAACAACCTTCCTGGATGGGAATTCCAAGCCTCAGAGGAGCAGGGGGTGGTCACAGGCCCCGACTCCCAGTGCCCACAGGCTGTGTATCTCCTCTGGAAAGGCCCTGACTCCTGGGAGCTAATGAAGGAGAGCCTGTGAACATCTGGGTGACCCCATTTGGCTGAACCACACTACGAAGTTCCTTCAAGGCTCCAAACCAGGACATAACACTTAGGCTCGCAGTCTTCACTTCTGAGGCGGTTTCAGCAGCCACAGCGTCTGATCAGCCTTCATCAAACTGAAAATGACCCTTGCTGGTAGCTGGTGGGTGCTGCTGGCGGGGTCCACCAACACCCTGACCCCATAAAATGAGGATGGATACGGGACCAGCAGGTGGCCTGGTAGTTAAGGCA